TTTGGTAAAGAGAAATATCTTTTATCTCGATGAGAAAAACATAGCCACGATATTGTAACATTTATTTCATTAATAAAAACAAAAAATGGTAACGTTAGAATTTAAAAAAATAAAAATTGATCGAGAATTGATTGTTTTATTTAACGAATATCACGTAGAGCAAAATTGTAGTTATCCATTAAAGATTACAGCAAGAAAAAATTTGGTAAACAGAAATGTTTTTATCTCGATAAGAAAAACGTAGTCACGAATTTATTATATTCGTAAAAAACAAATGGCAACGTTAGAATTTTAAAATTAAATTTGCAAATTCGAGGGAGAATTAATTAAATTTTATTTAACGAATATCACGTTGTCTTATTAATCGTTTCTACTTGTAATTTTAACCGATGTTTCCTTTCAATAATTTCAGTTTACAGCTTCGATATCTTCTTGAAAAAATAATGTATAATTGTATGCTCCATATTTGAAACTCATAGTGCATCGAACAATCCCTCATTAACGATGAAATCATCGCCAGAGAAGTATTGTTTCATTCGTTTCAGAATGTGTTAATTTATTGAACAGATAGCAGTGCATGCCTCCAAATTATCTCTCCAAGAGGAGAGACGATAATAATACTTTTTACCGTCTCAGAACTTATCAATATGTTCTCAATTCAAAATACATTTGGTCATTGCGGTATGAAACGTTTTATTCGTTTAGCTTTCAATATATTTTCATAGCGTACCACTCGGCCTGTTATTGTCCAGCTTTTCTCGCAAACGACTTGAACACGATGTTGTGCAATGTTTAAATTACACTTGGCGTCTCTGACTTCGTATTAAAAAATAGGTGTCTTTTCGTGTAAGATTCTTTCGAACAAAGTTATACTGTTTAAAGGGGCAAAAAGGAAACGATACAAACAAGTTAATTTTCTTGTATATCGATGAAAAGGGGAAAAGGACAAAAATAAAGATAAAATTTTAATCGAAAGGCAGACACCAGAGGTATATTAGTGAAATAATATCGTTTATTATTAAATCGAGCATATCTACTTGTCAATTTTATCTTATCAATAACCTGTGATGTAATACGATAGTGTTATTGTGAAGATTGTAGACAAAATTTTCAAAATATGCAGCATTTCCTCAGAAAGTGCTTGCAATTATTTCATAGAATTTTCGAACGTTTTATACGCTTTATTGCTGGTAACAGAATAATTTATATGCAATATAACGCGTTATATGGAACGTGTATTCATTTTTTTTTAATTTTATCGTTATTATTATATGATCAATATGCAGACGCACGAATTCGATAAAAAATTAAAGACTGACCATTTCCACGTGTATTGGTTGAAAATATACGTGTCAGTCGCATTTCTTCTCGAGCGTCCATGACGTTTTCCTCGACCGTATTCCACGGCGAGTTTAGACGATGACGTCATTGATGGCTAACCGGTTACGTCATGAGATTGAACACGTATTAGGAGTTGGTAAAGGAGATGGCTTCAAAGAATCGCCAATTCTTTTTCTTGCATTCTACTTCTTTCGAAATAACGAATAAACGCAGCTAATTATTAAATATTTTTTAATCACTTTTTTCGAACACCGCGCTGAAGGATGAAGGTTATGGGGGTTAACTGCTTAACGCTCACATTTTTCTCAACTTGATGTGCTAAAATGATCAGTTTCATTTATTTTTTTTTTATTATTTGCTAGATGTATAAAAATAAGTTTCTCGTTTATTTATAGTGCTGTGACTTACATTTTTGCAACGGAATAGAAAGGATAGAGCAGTATGAAGAGTGAGAGAAAATAATTGAACAAAATTGCACTTTTTCTGAGGATTAAAAGAACCTTTAAATCAAATCGACTCTTCGATGGACCATTCGATAGTTTACCGAGAGAAAATATTTGACGTCAAGTTTCAACCTTTTATCTCGCCCTGGGGAAGGGGGAGACAGAGAAAATTCTTATTATTCGTTTCGGCAATATTTTCCTTATTCAGTGGTACGAAAAAATTCCGAGAGCAATCCGGTGCATTATAGATACCGAGAACATTTTTTCTGACTTTTTCCTTGCAATTTTTAATCGATAAAAAATTAAAACCGCAAAAAATGTGGATTTCTTATTGAAATTTTAATTTGGCCAGATCTTTATTTTCAATGTGACCTTTTTCATTTTGTAATTGCTTCAAATTTTACTTATTATTGAAAGCACCTTCTCCACTGGTGCAAGATATCAATTACTTTAATTACACAAATATTTTCTGGTACATCTAGAGCGGTTTTTCTTAAAATCACTACGTCTGGTCACTCCATCTATAGAATTCATTAATGCTTGTTAACATACAGCATTTAATATAATTTCTCGAGATACAGTCATCCTCGTACCGGATCTGTGTAAATAGCGGCCATGTAACGCGAGATATTCTATTGTGTGTGGTATGAACAAGGTAGTCTCTTTCGAAACAGAAACCTATTGTGTGCAATGCATAATTCGCATGTTTATAATCCTTTCGGCTGTATTTTACAATTACCTTCCCGTTTATTTGAATTAGATCAATGTTTAGAAAACATATACAACACTGTCTTCAATCGAACGGAAACGAACCTGAAAAATTGAATCGAACGAGAAGTGAATTTTCTAAAAATGAACTTCGACGTTTGACAAATACTCGCGTTAAATGTCGCTGGTACCGTTGCCAGGATTGATTAAACTGAACAAGGAATTATTTCGATGTTAAACATTTGTAACTGTGTAGTTTGATTTCTAATAATACCGCCGGTAAGAAGATCCTATTGCCTAAAATACTTCGGATGTGTCATTTCGTTAATAGTCCTCCGTTTGTTAGTTTCTTACCTGCGCGGAGACAATGTTGCGTTGAAAATACCTGCGTCGAGTCAGATTCGTCTGAATTCACGGTGCGCAGTCGATTTTAATAAATATGTCAACGTAGTGTACTCTTAGCTGGCATTATTGTCGAAAATCTGAAGGTTGCAGCGTTCAAGGTGATAAAATTCGAGATGACTCATGTCGTTCGCCGATAAAATTAAAGTATGAGTTAAAGGAAACGGCGAATTAAGAATTTACTCATACTGGTTACACTTTAAACGAGCAATTCTAGATTTATATATATACACGTGACGCCAGTGTCTACGTATGAAAAATCTCGAGAAAATATGATAAACATAGTGTACTACTGAACGTACCGATGCTTTTTTTAGCAGTACATTCATATTTCTCTACATCGAACTTAATTCATTTCTTTCGCGGAACGAATGCTGATTCACTTTGATGTGTAAGCGTTATTTCTCAGTTGTTGTGTCACTGTGCAGCTATTTCCTTTCGGAAAGGCGAGAAGCCTGTGAACTTTCGTATTGATTTGTAATTTGCAAAATATTTGGAAAATTCGAAAATTAGTTAGGAATTATCAAAATTAAATCGATAAATTCTAAAATTGCAATTAGCTTCACTTATTCAGATATGAAAATGGATATGTCTCTGTATAAAACACTTTTTCGTAGAATACATATTTTAGAAGTTATTCGAGGTGAAAAAGTTATGTGACACTCCCTGTGTAAGGTATAAAAGTACCTAACTACTGTGACATGTGTGATACTATTATATACAAAACACTTGTAATTTCATACAGTCATTAAGTAGTTAACAGATTCACCGCTCTAAGGATCACCAGTGACCAGCACTGAGCGTGTCTTTCACACGCAGCGTTGGTCACCTGTGACCGTCATGCAAGGATCGTGATGATATGTATAACATGAACTTACTCATATCTGCAACATTACCTATGACTACATTTAGCAGTAGTATTATAGAAAAGTGTAATAGATAAAGTGCATTGCTAAATAAATTTATATTTTTATTCGTTAAAATTTCAACACATAATTGCACGGGTATACTACGATAAATCTTAGGAGAAAAGGTCAACGACATTCGAGTCGTCGATTTTCCTGCAATTTTGCATAATGTTATAGTGCAGCACATTATGTGTAATGATATTCTGAAAGCATAGAGTATGGCGGTTGGTTATGGGAAGAGGAAATAAATAGGGAGAGGATAGGCGGGAAGAAAGGATGCGTTTTGTGTTCTGAGAGCTTTCTTAGTGGACTCGTCCGACCCTAAGAGCAGATCATCCATGGCCTTAGATACAGGGGACAGTTAGATTTCTTTTTTATAAATATTTTTATGGGAAGAGACCTGATGATAATCAGACGGTGTTACCTTCCTGAATTATCTGAAATTAAATTAATCAGCGAGAGGGAGATAAGGAAATACTTTCAGAAAACCTTGATAAGCAGTTATTGGAAAGAGTTACGAAGATGGTTAAGAGAGACTTCTTTTTTTAAAATTTAGTATTATATAAGTGTGTTAATAACGTCGCACTTATTGATTCAGGGCCAATTTATCGAGAAAATGTACCTTTGCTATTAACCGTAACAGATTAGACTCACGTTAGAAGTTGTATATATAGTAATAGGAGCTTTATCGAGCACTAGCGAGAAAGATTGATGTTACTCTGTCCCTCTGGCGGTGGAACGTAGAAGGTACACCACAATAGGATGCTTTCCCTCACAATTTTTCCAGAAAATTAAATTTCTCGCACAGTATTTATATGCAAATTCACGAAATTATAAGATGGATCTGAAATAAATTCTTCTTAACCACACACCCGATCGCACCTGCACATAAAATGCTTTAGAAACGATCAGCTGCATGTAAAATATTAAATGTGCTCGGACAGAAAATGTTAATATCTAGAATAAGTACTTACACATATATTATGTAAAAATGTGTAATAGTAACTATGACATCAATAAATTCCGATGCTTTCAATAATGACGTAATGCGAGCGCGTGAAGATTCAGCGCCGTAAGTGAAGGCTTCCTCGAGCTTTTTTATTTTCTATTTAATACAACGTTCTAACGGAATGTAAAAAATGTGACGTCACACAACGGAATGCAGTATTTTCTTTGAAACGTAACGAATCTTTTACAGATTCATCGGACATAGTAGACTGTAAATTGAAGCTGATACTTGGATTAGTATGGACGTTGATCCTTCATTACTCGATTTCGATGCCTATGTGGGAGGGAGAGGACAGCGATGGTACCGACAAACGTGCAACACCGAAGCAAAGATTGATGCGTTGGATCCAGACGAAACTTCCAGATTTACCAATAACCAACTTCACTTCCGACTGGAACGATGGACGAGCTGTTGGTGCTCTCGTCGACGCCGTTGCACCGGGTCTTTGCCCGGATTGGCAAGATTGGAATCCAAACGATGCAATACAAAATGCTTCCGAGGCGATGGGATTGGCTGACGATTGGCTCAATATACCTCAGGTAAACAATATTTATTTCGCTTTTTGTTTTCAAATAAAAATCGAAGAAATTTTCTTCTTCCACCTTTCCCCTGTGCTGGTTTATTTTTTTTTATTTATTATTAAGTATACATATTTTTTTTATTAATTCGTCTCTTCTTGAAGTCGTTTACTTTGTGTTGTTTTTTGTGCCTACGAATGGTGGAGTATACTTAACGTGTGGAAGTTGAGTGTTGGGACACCCGTTATGTAGGCGCAGAAATGAATTCTTTCCGACTGGATTCGCATAATTAACTCAAAGCCACCGAGTTTCTATCGCGATGCTATTCGCAAATTGGCAGAAGAATGGCAAAAGGTTATTAAAAATAATGGAAATTATTTCCATGATACATCTGTTTTTATTCTTTTTAAATCAAATTTTGATTGCACCCAAAAGTCGGAAATATGATTTAAGTTACATTTTTTCGCTAAAGTTAGTGAAATATTAACAGATTCCAAATTAAATAATTTTTTTCACAACTACCGACTGCGTTACAAAAATTCAACAGTTACAGTCAATTAAGGCACGGATAAGGGAAAAATAGTGGCATGTTTTCAACCATATTTATTTCTAGCATTCTCTGACCATCCCTTTGTTATAACATAAGGAGATATTTAATGTGTTGATATTCGATTGTGCTCGATTATTTTTAGCGGGGATATATGAAACAATGGGTGATATCGGCTCAAACAATGAAAATGGCTGGAATATTTGCATGCGTTAAGCTTATTGTCGAAGCTGTATCGAAGCTGTTATAATAGTTAGGGCGTGATAAAATGGTTTACAAGTTGAAGGTCAGCATTTTAAGCATCTCCTGAAATTATAATAACACGTAAATAAATAATATAATTTAACTACCTATAATACAAAATTACAAAAATTCGAATTTTTACGAAACTCCTCAATGAAATGAAAACAATTTTATTTCCGAGAATTATTTTTCTTTAATCTTTCTTCTTTGAAACGTATGTTTGTGAATATTGCGAAGTTAATTGATAAAATTAACGCGACTTCAACCACAAGAAACATTATATACACTTTACGATGCAATTTCATCTTTGAAGATCAAAGTGTCGATAAAAAATGTCCACTCTGAAGTTAAATAAGAAGATAAGCTTTTTATACGTCTAATTATTCAACGTAATTAACAAAGAAAAATATGAGACAAAAATAAACGAAAGAAACGATGGACGACCATGTAGCGACTTAATACTGATATATTTTGTGCAGCTTATTAAACCAGAGGAAATGGTCAATCCAAACATAGACGAAATGTCAATGATGACGTATCTGTCTCAGTACCCTAACGCAAAACTGAAAACAGGAGCGCCACTTCGACCACGCACCAATCGAAACAGGTGAGAAAATGGAACGAATTAATTTTTTTTCTCTCCTCTACAATGTTTCTCGCACACAAGTGATCTGCAGAGCCACACTCGCCAGTTCAGGTGATATCTCGTCACGTGGAAAAAATAAACAAGCATAATCTACGATTTTCTGTTTAAATTATACCACATTTTTTCAACGTGACATCAAAGGCTAATATTAGACGTTGAATAAAGGAATTTCGATTCGGTTTTTTAATCACTCCTGCTGTTTTTCTCAATAAACTACACTCTTCGTTGTAATGATTTGGAGGACTCTGTGAATAAATTGAAAGTTGATCACGATAGGAAGATACTTTTGAGAAGACAATTTGGTCAAAGGTGTTAACTATATTTCACGAATATCAAATACTATTTTTTTTAGGTAGAAAAAGTGGAAGGATGACACTTTTCTTGTTTGAAATTGAAAAGAAAGTTTTCATTCCACTTGTAAACATAATACATTTTAGAACAATTTGACCGCTCGAATATCTACAAATGATAACTTCGTATTTGTCTATTTTTTTTTTTTTAGAAGAAAAATCATATTTTCAAAAAATGAAGAAATCGAAAATGTTCGAGGTCAGTTTTCGTATAAATACAGTTAATATTTGGTTCTCAGAGGAGGAGTATTACACTATCCACTAGTTGCAACGAAACTTTGTAGGTAATTAGATAATTAGATTAGAGAATTAAAAGATTTGTCACTCTACTTGTATCTACACTGCTGTTCAAAAGTATTAGTACACCTATTACGATTCGTACGATTTAAATAACATTTCTTCGCCAAAGTTAGTATCGCGTATCGATAAAATTATTGATATTCACGCTGTTACTTTTCAACGTTTTCCTCGTAAATGGTAGATTTGCGAGAAATATAGAAGGCGACAAAGTTTCATAATTTTCGTACCCAGTACAGTATGAATAGATTTTTCAAATTTGCAGACAAAAATTGATCGAAACAAATCGCCTTAAACGAGGGAAAATTATGATACTCGAAGGGAAACAAAAAGTAGAAACTTTTTCTTTATTTCCGTACGAAATCGAAAATGTTGCTAACGAAATATCGAATTAAAAAAAACAAAAAAGAAGGAAACAATTAAGAGAAATGCATTGTTGTAGTAAATAGTAAGATAAAATGCAGTAAACTGACCCAAATATAAAAGCAAAGTACTAAATATTTCTTCTTTCTATCTTCACCGTTAACACGAACATTTAACCGGTATACTTGGTTCAATTGATAAGAGATGATGCTTGAAGTTTCTCATTCGAAAGGAACGTACGATTAATGAAGTTATTTTATTTTTCGGTTGCAGCATCCCGCCACCGCGGTAAGTTGCGCAAAAAATCATACCTTTGGCATATATAGTTGTTCATCTTTTTTTATCACAATTAATAATCATAGTTGCATACAGTTTGGCGCAATTAATTCTTGGCTGTTCGATGAAATATATATACTGCAATTAGTATCGTAGAGTGTACTTAGCTGTTACACATTAGATAGTTACATTTTGTTGTTTCCCATTTCGCTTTAACCACTTGCGCAGTTTATTTGAAAGTGCAACTAAGATGTTATACATTTTTTGTTGGTTTTGCGAGAAAGCTGCAACATGAATCATCGCACTACAACCAATATTTATATTACTAAAGTGTGTTTATTAGAAGTTTTTTGGTAGAACTTTCTTCGGTTTTCCTTTTTGTAGGAACTTGATTACGTTTGTTTCAGGGCATAATGATGTTTTATCTGTACAAGGTGGGCCATGGGAAATAGGGCATCGAATTATCTTCTATTTTAGCTACGGCGGTAGGAGAAAATTTTTATTTGTAATTTAAACGGTTTGAAAAGACGAATAAAATGGAAGAAAAATTTTTTCTGTTTCTTTCAAAGTCACCTATATTTCTTTTTGCATGAGTGTATATACTTTTTCTACTGTATGTTGTAACAGACATTAGTGTGCATTTAAACGTGCAAATAATATGACTTTAAATTATCCTTAAAATTTTAAATCAAACGTGAAACTTCCATTTATTTTTTGCCATTCAAACAATTTCTCTTCCATCGTTTATTCACCCTTTGAAACCATTTGAATTACGTATAAAAATGATCTCCTATCACCGTAGCTATAAAAGATAATTAAACGTTTTACGTGGCCCACCCTGTGTAATGTAATTTATGTAACAATATCTTTCACGTAGAGAGTTTAACGTCCTTTGAATTACGCAATAGTGAATTATTTTGATACGTATTACCGCGATAATTTCTGTTTATCAACGAATAGCAACAAGTATCAGACGGTTCACGAAAATTTACGACTTTCGTTCCCGTGTAATAATAGAAATAATTAATTGCTAATCAAGTTTCTCATGCAAACGGTTACGAATATTTGCTTTACGATTTGCTAGTTAATTGAATATGTTTGCCTGTTTAAGTAACGGTAGCCTTGCCATTTGATAGAATTATTTGACAATTTTTTCGAATTACGATAGCTATTTGATACGTCGGGTAACATTTAATAACGCTTGTAGTGCTTGTATGCGAAAGAGGTTTTAACATTTGAGAAGGTACTTCTTTCTATTTTCCAAATGTTCGTAATAGTTGACAATCTGAAGTTAGGACGATCTATTTATGAAAATTTCGAGTCAACTTTATCCCACTGAAAATTCATTCAATAATTTCGAATTAATTTCGAAATAAACACAAAATTTGGCAAGCACGTTGATATCATGATGAACATTTTAAATACTAAGTGCGTTTCAGATGATTACACTTTGGTGAAAAGGATTTTTGCAAGGAGAATTGCTTTTTGTTGTTGTGTGTGATAAATAAGTGTTTCATTTGGAAGCGAACAGAAGCAATGGGTGTAACGAATTATGCAAGGTAGCTCTGAAACGTATTGATTTTGAATAATTTCATGTTACAGCTTTAGTTTTCAGTTAATTCGAATTAGCAATACAAATTTAGTTTGAATTTACCACAAATTAACGAGAATTAATTCGCTGAGGATGATTTAAATTGACTCTTTTCTGTGAGAAAGTGATGAGAGTTAGTTAGATAGTTTATTTATGAGTATTGAACTCGATTTTGGTATAGTTTGTTTCTGAGATAAATTTTCAAAAATACTCAGAACCTTTTTGAAAACTTATTTACTGACCTATATTCAGGACTAAACGACTTCTATAGTCATATAACACAATTTATATATGAAAAACAAAATAAAAAACCTGGTAAGAAATGGAGATATATACAGAGTCTCTGTTTTATCTATAAATATGTAAATATCTCGAAAACTATGGGTAGAATACAAATTATAAAGTTTTTAAAGAGAAATCTAAATAGTACAATGTTCCACAGATATTCCCTTCATGGTAACTTCCTGTTACATTAATCTACCTTGATTCAAAAATATTATTCATTAAAATAAATATTCTTATCTATCTTATCTTTCTTATCTCTCTTATTTGTTTGAAAATTTTAGCGTACTTCTATAAATGCAGCCTTAGAAAACGAAAAATCTGATCTTTGAATGTCACTTTATTTTTAATAATATATCTTTTTGCTGTAGAGTACGCGCTTATGGTCCTGGTATCGAGCCAACTGGTCCAGTTGTGAGTGCACCAGCTAATTTCACCGTAGAAACATTTTCTGCCGGCAAGGGAAACGTTGAAGTTACGGTGGAGGATCCTGAAGGAAATAAAATACCGGTGAGAATCATTTTTTATAACAGGTTAGGTCTTTAAGACGTTTCTAAAGCTACATTTCAAAAATATCTTGATTTGTTACACTGGACATCGTTCACACGTATTTTGGACATCTTTAGGCTTTCATTCGACGCCTATAAGACGTTCAGAAGACCTCTGTGTGCATATTTGGAACGTGTTCCATTTGGGAGAATTATATTCGTATTTTAAACGTATCAAAAGAAACAGCAATTAAAATATTAGATATTATACGTCATACTTATGTCATTGTTATATACGTGAAACGTTTCTTTATCAATAATGCGGCTGACCGACATACCGGAAGGTGGCACATTTATATCATAACCGCAGATTGATTATGCATATGATGTATTAATTATTTTTATGATCCTACGTTTCTCTCTAATTAGAGCTATTTCTGTTGTTCATTGTTCAGTAAAAAATTATTTTGTTTGTAATTTCAATTAATAATGATACACTAAATCACAATAATTGAATTGAAATAAAACGTTGAATTATAATAATTGGCAACAATTAAAAGAGTTACAAAGTAATTCTTGAATTTTTCTGTTTCAAAGGTTGACATTAGGTTTAATAAAGACAAAAACCTCACCTATTCCGTGTCGTATACTCCAAAAATCGAGGGGCCACACAAAATAAAGATACTTTTCGCTGGAAGAGAAATTCCAAAGAGTCCTTACGTGGTCAATGTTGAAGCACAAGCAGGAGACCCGAGTAAGGTAACAGCAAGTGGACCAGGATTACAATCGGACGGTGTTATAGTTAATAGACCTACTTTCTTCGATATATTCACGAAAGATGCCGGTCGTGGTGTACCAGAAGTAATTATTCTGGACCCCCAGGTAAAATATCGTTTGTCACCTGTTTAAGAAAAATATTGTTAGTTTAACATTAACGATTATGCTCTTAAAAATTTCAGAAATATTCGTATATTGGTCTGAAATTATATTATGTATAAAAATTATACCAAAGTACACGATAATGTTGTGTTATGCAAACAACAAACGATCGTTTTTAACTGAAGAATTTCAATTTATAGTTTTTCAAATTCGTAGGGTTCGAAGACAACTGTACCCGTGAAATTACGTCAAACCCTGCCAGAAGTATGGAGATGCGAGTACACTCCTCCTCAAACTGGTCGACACTCGGTAAATGTATTCTTCGCCGGTAAATTAATACCTGGAAGTCCACACGGCGTCAACGTAGGTCTAGTCTCCGATGCAAAGAAATGTAGAGCCTATGGACGAGGATTACTTCCAAACGGAGTTCGTGTTCAGGACGATGCAGATTTCGTAATTGTTACGAAGGACGCTAGTGAAGATGTACCTGGAGTTAAAGTGATTGGTCCGGGTGGAGTCAATCGCCCTGTGCAGTAAGCAATTTATTTCTATGTTTTACCACACTTTTACCGTAAATTGCAGATTTTCTGTGAGATTTTCAATCTTTCTTCACATCCTTGCTGGGTATTTCGGCATAGAACAGTTTAAAAATAACAATAATTGATAATAACGCTATTAATGATTTTTCATTTAATTATCTGTCATGTTAGATACATATAAAAATATGAAGTATAATTGTATAATTAATATAATAATGTGTAGTATGTACTTTCAGTATGTCAAAGGTTGACCAGAAAACGTACAAGTGCCATTATACACCGATTAAAGAGGGTCGACATATGGTAATGATAACGTATGGTGGAAAGGAAATTTACAAGTCACCTTTCGAAGTGAACGTTGCTCCTTATAAAGAATCAGCAATTAGAGCTTTCGGCCCTGGTCTTCATGCTGGTATCGTGAATTATCCAGCAAAATTCACTGTTGATACTAACGGTGAAACTGGTGGTCTTGGATTTTCCATCGAAGGTCCATCGAAAGCAAAGATCACTTGTCACGACAATGGCGATGGAACAGCCGATGTGTCTTATTTACCAACTGCTCCAGGACAATACGCGGTTCATATACTTTGTGATAATGAGGATATTCCAAAATCACCTTATGTTGCAAACATCTTACCAAAAGCTGACTTTGATCCTGACAAGGTTCGTTCTTATCTTTCTATACTTGATAATTCGTGAAATAAACTACCAGGCACTACCAAGTAAGTTTACATGAAGAAATTAACAAAGTTGAATTTATAGGTTGAGGTGTATGGTCCAGGAGTTCAAGCAGAGTCCATTCCTACTGAGAAGCCAACGAATTTTACAGTGGATGTAAGAAAAGCTGGCCAAGCACCTTTGGAAGTCGCTATTCAAGATGCTCTGGGAAGAGATGTTCCCGTTCGATTAGATGATAATCATGATGGCACTGTGCAGTGTCGCTATACTCCAACATCTGGATCACAACATGTTATTATGGTGAGATGGATGAGTGTGCATTATATATTAAATATTATGTATCCATCTGTATGTTAACTTTTTATAAATAAGAAAAAATGATTCACTGTTAATTGTGAATGTTTTTAGTACTTAAAATTAACAAGTTTTAGACATTTTTGGGCTAATGTACATATAAATTGACGTTCACGTTCGCAGGTAAATTATGGTGGAGTAGCAGTAAAAGAATCTCCTTATAGAGTGAAAGTAGAAGCACCTTTAAATCCTGCTATGGTATCAGCCTTCGGACCTGGCCTCGAGAAAGGTGTCAAGTCAAACAGTCCTACGCATTTCAATGTCGATTGCCGTGAAGCTGGTCCAGGCGAACTTCGCGTCACCATGGTAAACCCTGAGGGAAGGGAGATTCTCTTTTCATTGACAGATAACGAGGATGGGACATACACTGTTGATTACGTGGCGCCCCAACCAGGTGTTTACTTAGTAAATTTGAATTATGGAGGATTAAGCGTACCTCAGTGCCCTATAAAGGTGAATGTTCAACCACACGTTGATGTCTCGAAGATTAAAGTGGACGGTCTTGCCCGAAGTAAGTACGAGATTATTTATTTTAGTTCTTACATGATAGGTAAACTGTCCATTTGTTGATTTGGATGTCACGATATTTGGAGGGAAAGTGACACGATATTTTATAAGGTTTTTTCTTTTAATTATTTACCTATGGATTGAAATGTTTAACATCTCAATCTTTCATAAAATTATTTAAATAATAGGAAATATTCATTCAAATTTAACAGTGTCTCAATCTTTACATCATCGGATTATTATATCGTTACGTTAGTTGCCTGATTAAGTGTGTGTTAGATATATTATCTAAGCAGTTGATTCGAGTAAAAAGAAAATGTAAATATGGGAATATTTATATACAGAAGTTAAACTATTTCTCTGCTCTCATAATCGTTTTCGCAGTCATCTTTATAGGATTTTCGTTTCTTTATTTTACATAAGAGTGTAAGTTTTAATTCTACAAAAATTCTTCATGATTAAATATCAAAGAGTAGAAGCAAATCAGGCATCTAGCAACATCACATAATGTTTCACGCGTGAATACATAAAGCTGAATGTAAAAGGAACGTAAAAAGTTGAGGAACTAAATCCGTGTCGCAGCGGCTCCGGTGAACAGCTTGCAGCAGTTTCGCGTAATAACTCAAGATGCGGGGAAAGCAGCAGACTTTCAGGTGGCGATAACCGCCCCTTCTGGGAATCGTGTGAAAGCTCACGTGGTATTGACACACGACGGTTATCTAGTGAACTTTACACCGACGGAGCTCGGTGAATATCTTTTGGGCATTAGTTTCGGTGGAGAGCCAATATCGAATCAGCCTTATCGATTAACCTGTGTACATGGCTCCGATCCTGGAAAGGTCCGAGCTTCTGGCCCAGGTCTCTCCCATGGAATAGTAAATAAACCAGCTGAGTTCGTAATCGATACTCGTGGAGCTGGACAAGGAGGTCTCGGTGTTACCGTCGAAGGTCCATGCGAAGCCGCCATTAATTGTCGGGATAATGGTGATGGGACATGTTCCGTTGCATACCTACCGACGGAGATCGGCGATTATGGCATCAACATTACGTTTAACGAAAAGCATATACCTGGCTCACCTTTCCAGGCGATCGTTGTAAAAGACACCGATGTGTCAAAGATCAAAGTCACCGGGAACGGCATTCAACCAAACGGTACCGTTGATCGTGTTTTTTTCTCCAGGATTTGCTTCGATTAACAAACTTTGTGTGTGTTTTTTCTGTGTTACATATTGTAGTTTCTTTAATACTCTAACCTGAAATTTCTTAGAAATTTCACAACACATTTGCAATAATGGATAAGTGAGGCGATTTGTTGCACAAGGGTCTCTACGATGTACGGATTCCGTTTTAGATAGGTTGAAACGCAGATAGACACTTACACTTTTCTCGTATTTCGTCTACAGTGCAATCTGTTCTGCTTTACTTGATCATTTTCGATTATTAGTGTTGTTGATAGCATGAAGGAAGAAATTACGTGTTCCAAAGAGCACGTGTTTATACAGTGGTATTTATACTTTGCTGAATAAAACGTTAATGCATGTAGTAACGCAGTTCAGTACGTTTCAAGTATTACAAACGTAAGGAATATTTGATTTGTTAAGTGTAACTGTTATTTTTCAAAGAACACAGAAAAAGATATTAAAGAAAGCTTATATCAATAACTGTTATTAGATGCTTTCCGTTGTTAGAGATAATATATTTTCGAGAATAGGTCACTTCGTTGAAAAATTTAAAAATGTCAAACGAAAAAATGTGGCGATTGTAATTATTCGCCCGGAAGCATTCCTTTCTGCATTATTGAAGGGAATATTTATTGTAGTCAATTTAAACATTGTTTAGAATTTTTATACAGTTCTTTTTCTGTTTTTGCACACTATAATGTTTGCTTTTTTCATTTATTTTTCCTGTAAGAAAGTATACAGTAGTGTTCTGTTAAGTGCTCATGCGCAATTGCGCGCAATTAACGGATAGATGGCGCGTAATTCTTCCAGCAGTTGTTCTTTCGCCGAATTTTTTGTGTTTAAAAAATCTACTCGAATTTTTCGCATATTACAAATAATCTATAACTAGAAACATAAATACAGAATTCGAAGTATAGATGCAGATTAGTTTATATTACAAGAAATATAAACATCTTCCAAATTTCAACATTAAATATCTCGTAAATTATTAATCGTTTGCAGTTAAAACCATCTATCGGCAGCTTCGATATTTCAACCTCTATAACTATATATACAAAATCTCGTTGAAGATGCAGCTTTATACTTCGAGACTTATTATTGTTAGGAGCATTCAGTAATACACCAGGCACTGGTTTGTCCACATCTACAATCTTCTAATTTGGCCAGCGATAATAGAGATCTACAAACTCACATTATGCGTCTACCAATGCTAGCCATACATCGAATCATTCACAAGTAATCATTATTGCAGCAATTCTTATTCGCAAACCTCGCCGGTATTATTTAAGTTGAAACGTTTCTTTGCCATAAAGAGGAGATTTAATTACTTACAGATTACAAGTAGTGACATATGCACTGTGTGATATTTGCATCATGTGTGATTTTCTTTTCTTTTTTAAATAGAATTATATGTAACGTATATTTTCACAACGCATGCGTATTGCAACGGTTTAGCAAATTATATTTATTTCGATGCACTAGATGTTTATTTACATGTATTTTAAATACATGTGTACTGATAAACGCAATTAGCATAGAATAAAAAAATTAATCTGGTTAGTACACATTCTACTTGAAAGCAATATTTCATGCTTTTTATGATTTAATTTAGAATATAAGAATTAATTTAATTGTACCGACTCGTGGAACGGTTATTCTTAAATCTTATATAATTTTCGATGTATTTTTATCTGTTTCTATCATTATTACAATACTTTTCCAATAAAATTTAAGCGAATTTATTGCTATTAATGTTTTCGTAGGTAATTGATGTTTGACGGAAACGTAAAAATTTGCTGAATTTAGCAGTGTGTGAAATTATCCGCCATGAATGTATACAGGTATTAAATATCGCATTTCTATAAATTTCAGGTCCGTGCGTGAATCATCCAACAGAGTTTACGATAGATGCACGAGGAATCGCGAAGACAGAGAACGATAATAGCAAGGTTTCCTGTACGATTAATAGTCCTAGCGGTGATAAAACCGAGAAAATCATTATTCCTCAAGGAGATGGAACCTATTGCGTCAGTTACACACCGTTTGAAGAAGGACGTCACACTATAGATATACTTTACGACAACGTTCCTATTCCTGGCTCACCTTTCTCAGTTAACGTTCAACGGATCAGCGATCCCAGCAAATGTCGGGCATATGGACCTGGCTTGAAGAAGGGACTTTTAAATAAGCTCAACACATTCACCATAGAAACGAAAGGTAAAGTTCAAAGGTAAAATTCAAAGATCCAACTGATTATTTATAGCGAGATATAATTTAGCATCACTAGGCATTTATCATGCAACTAGATTACATGGTTTATTTAATTTAGAATATTAGTATGTTGTCATGTTTTAATAATACATGTAAATAGTATGTTCATTATGTCTAAAGAATAAATTAAATAGATTATTACTGCTTGTAATGTAATTTAATATTAATAAAAATTATTTGTAAATGTTTAGATGCTGGCAATGGCG